ATTTAATCTTTGAATAAACATATTTATTCCTTTGTTGGGCTTTTTAAAAACATTGCCAGTATTGAGAAAACATGTTAAATATAAAACTGTATTTTAATTTATCAAAGAAAAAAAGTCATGTAATATAATCTATTGTCTTTTTAAAAACATAGGATCAGGACTGAGAAAACCTCTGGTAAAACACAGAACAGCATTTTCATCATCAAAGTCTGGACACGGAGACTTTAACATTGAAGAATTGAATCTGTGCAACAGTTGAACACCGGGAGGTCTGAACAACATGGACATTCATTCATTTGTGCTCAGGCCGAAGTGCAACTTCTTTAATCTGGACAGGAGTGAAAGATCCGTACTGTTCCTCGTGTTATTGTGTATCGCGTTGATTGGTGTGAAAAGAAAAAAACGCCCAAACTTGTTAAAAGTCGCCGAAACATCTGCCCGCTTAAGGCCTCCCCTCCCCCCCGACGTAGTCAAAAGAAACACAATTTGGAAGACACCCGCCCAATCTGGCAACACTATTTTACTTCATATAGAGGCTTTGCACCGTCACGTGTCGCCCATGGCAACGGTACCTACGCCGCCATGACACCGGGCACAATATGTCACTGACTTCAGCAGCATCGGAGAAACATGGGCAGGTTTTGTTGTGTATTTGGTTGTTCTAGACGCTCTGAAAGGGATAAAACGATTCGTTTCTTCACTGTTCCTCTGGAAATGACTCATCAGGATCAAACAAGGGAATTATCGAAAAAAAGACATAAACCACAAACAGATCACCAATGGTACCATCAAGACACACTCACGTCACTTTCATCAAGGTATTTACTATTTAAATTGTTTCATAGTTTATTTAATGAGAGAAGCACATTTACTGAACTAAAATGTAAAAAGAAAACATTTGCAGTGTGAGTGGCAGTAGAAACTGTATCTTCCAGCACATATAAACATGTCACTCGTCGTAGGACCGATGTTTTACTTTACTGTCTTGTTTATCCACAACTATGTCTTCTAGAATTAATCGCTTTTTGCGAGTGGATCTTTCTAACGTTCGCGAGGATCTTTTCATGGCCGATTCTTTCGAGGTTCAACTCACAGACTCTTCGACTCGTGCGTCCATGTTGATCACAGGAGCCCAGTGTGGGTTCGTTGAATCATAAACTAGTGCAGGTTTTCCTGGATAAATGTGCTTCTTTCATTAAATAAACTATGGAACAATTTAAATAGTAAATACCTTGATGAAAGTGACTTGAGTGTGTCTTGATGGTACCGTTGGAAATCTCTTCGTGGTTTATGTTCTCTAGACATAATTCCCGTCTTTTTCCCGATAATTCCCTTGTTTGATCCTGATGAGTCATTTCCAGAGGAACAGTGAAGAAACGAGTCGTTTTATCCCTTTCAGAGCGTCTAGAACACAGGTGTCAAACATGCGGCCCGGGGGCCAGATCCGGCCCTCCAAGACCTTTAATCTGGCCCTCAGCTGATTTTCTACCAAAATATTTTAATTATATTTTCTATTAACAGAAAAAAACAAAAACAAGTGACAGATACACACTAAGGCTGCGTTCAGACTGCAGCCTGAAGTGACCCAAATCCGATTTTTTGGCTTCTATGTTC